CTGAAAAAAAAATTTGTAGAGATCGCGCTGATCGGGTTTTTATAATAACTCTGATGTTCTCAATTTTTTTTTCTTGACATGTTAAAATGTAGCTAAAATTGTGGTTTTACATATAATTACTCTGGTATTATTGGGGAACATTCCCTTAATTGCACACCTGTCTTGGACAGTTAGAATGGGCCTAGTGCCCGAAAATATGCTCTCGAAAAGAGACTAGTAAAATTAAAACGTTGATACGATTTACGCATTGTCATGGGTTGGAACTTGTTACCAGGGGGTTTCTGGCGTTGCTAATTAGGAATCAGAAGTCAGTTTTCCAAAATTCAAAATGGCGGATCCAAAATGGCGATCCATTTTTTTTTCAAATTAATGGATTTGTTCGTAACCCGGCACTCGAGATTCTTTGGGGTCGCTGATTACGAACCTGAAGTCAATTTTTTTTAATTCAAAATGGCGGATCCAATATGGCGATCAAATTAAAAAAAATACTAAAACTAAAACGTCGATACTGAACGTTTTAAGCATTGTCAAGGGTTGAAACTCGTTTCCAGTGGGTTTCTGAGCTTGCTGATTATGAATCTGTTGTCAGATTTTCAAAATTCAAAATGGTGGATCCAAAATGGCGACCAACTCAAGAAAAATGATTGGATTTGTTTGAAACTCTCAACCGCCATTTTAAGTTTTGAGAATCTGACATCAGATTCGTAATCAGCAACCGCAGAAATCCACTGGAAACGAGTTTCAACCCTAGACAATGTTTAAAACGTTCAGTATCAACGTGTTAATTTTAGTATTTTTTTCTAATTTGATCGCCATATTGGATCCGCCATTTTGAATTTAAAAAAACTGACTTCAAATTCGTAATCGGCGACCTCAAAGACTCTCGAGTGCCGGTTTTCGAACAAATCCAACCATTAAAAAAAAAAATGGATCGCGATTTTGGATCCGCCATTCTGAATTTTGAAAAACTTACTTCAGATTCCTAATTAGCAGTGGCGGACCCAGGTGGGGGAAATTGGGAAAATTTCACTTGAGTTGGAAATTCTAGCTGTGTGTTAAGCTCGAAGTATTATGTTATTTAAGTAGGCCTATCAGTGTTTGAAATTCACTGAATTTTAAAAATTTTGAAATTATGTACTTAATTTTCGATTTTTACTTTTTATGTTATATTTTCGAATTTGTATTATTATACACAGTTGAAAATCACAGCAAGTTTGAATATTTTCGTAGGTTCAGAAAACAACGAATATTCCAAAATTTTGAATTTTACAATATTATTAAATTTCTTGAGATTTCTTATTTTTAGGATAATTTCCAAAATTTCAAAAACTATCAAAATCCGGGAAATTTTGGCAAAATGAGAATATTTTGAATTCTACAAAATTATTGAGATTTCAGAAATTTTCTATACACAGAGAAAAAATCACATAATGAAATGGAACAAAACTAATAAGATATCTCTACGGTTTTTTGTTAAGAATATATTCCTCTTGCTTCCAGGGGGCAAATCTTTTTAATAAAACCTAAAAGAAATCTTTTGGTTTTTATAAGGTTGTCTAATTAACTTTTTTAAATTAGAAATTGAAAAAGTTCCCCGCCGACCTGCCCTCGAGCCCGTGACCTTCTGAATGGCAGTTTACAGCTCTACGGACCGGCTACGGTGGTAATCTTGCCGATGCTGTTCTATTGAATGATATGAATTTAATATAAATTCAAGAATGTAATTCACGGCAGTAAGAAGAAAACTTTTCAACAAATTCAAGAATACATCTTATGAAAGTAAGAAGAAAACTTTTAAATAAATTCGAGAATACATCACATACAATTAAGAAGTAATTTTCATGAAGCACTATTACATTGGTTTGTTAAACATTTCCAGTAAGCATTAGCAGCGAGAATGTAAACACAAAATTGAGATAAAAGAAATAAAAATAAATCAATATAAATACATACATATAATAATAAAAATAATAAACAAGATAAAAAATAAAAATAAGAAACTAGGTTCGTTCCACGGGATTTGAACCCACATCCAAAAAGTCGGCAGTCGTAGTCGCACCCGTTAGGCTACTGCATCTATTGAGAAAACATGGAAAAATACAACCTTCAATTCATTGTCTATTTTATTACAAATAAAATCAAGAAGAATTTACACATGAAATTAAGAAAAAATCTCTATGGGATTTTCTTCGTTTTTTTCGTCTCTTTTACCCCTTAGCCCAGAAACGTTTCATAAAGACAATCCTCTTGTTTATATGTGTCATATTTTTCTCTGTGTTTTCCAAAATTTTGAGAATTTTATTTATTCTAAAATCCATCCGAAAATGTAAAAATGTGAAACATCACAAATTGTCGAAAAATTCTTATGTTCATGTACTTGTGTGTAAAAAATAGAAAATTCTTAGAATTCTAAACGATATTACATTTTTGAAAAATTCCAAAATTGTTCCACTTTTCTTGACTTTTGTATTGATATAATAAAGTTTGAGAACTTTAAATTTTTTGAAAATTTTGAAAACATCAACGTCCAAAAATTTTTTTAATCTTCAAGAATTACGAAAATTTTTTGAATTTTCAAAAACGAGGGAATATGAAATTGTTTTCAACATTCGAAAACTTTTAATTTCGTTTGATTAATTTAATATATTCTACACTTTTACATAGAAAAAATTTGTTAGAATTCCTACAATTCTCAACATTTTTGAAAAAAAAAATTCTATGAAGCTAGTAATCGTCATTATATTGAATTATTGGAATTTACTAAAATTTCACAAATTTACAAAGTTTTGTAAGTTTAGAAAATTTTGGAATTCCACTAAAGTTATTAAAAAGGGGAAACTTCAAGAAATTAAAAACTAACAAAACTCTCAAAATTTTAAAATGCGGTGATTTTTAAATTTATATACACTATATATGTTGAGAAAGACTGTCAAAAATGTTTAATCACCCTAATCGAAGAACTTTTGAAACGATTACCTAGTCAATTAAAAGCGTTGGTTTTGTCACCAGAAAAGTGTGTGAATCACAAGAAGGCGAGTTTCAGGGACCTGCCAATTCACTATTTCACTTTGAAGGAAAGAAATGCAGCGGAAACTGAATATTTAACTCTTTTAACTTTCCCACGGACTAACTTTTCTCAGAACCATTCCATCCGACTCTGAAGAATTTTGGATAATTGCTTACGTAGTGAAAACCGCAACAGGCAATAAAATGCTTGGAAATATAAGTAAATTCATATTATTATCCTTGCAGCACTCCTTGCAGATTCGAAATAGGATGAGGTTGGAAAGCTTTAATTCAATAGTTATAGCAAACCGTTTCCAATATCAAACAGTATGTTATCAAGGTTGAATAGCTCAATATATGAAAACAACAGAAATGTAAATCATTCAGACACTATTGGTGATTTGGAAGAAATTGTGGAAATAGCTGATCTCGTCTTATTATAGGTTTTTATCTAATTTCTAGCGCCGAGCTCTTAAAAGCGGATCGTGCGATTAATCAATTAATATGCGCTATAATAGCAGCAGTCCTATTGCAAAATGTGTTGAAACAAATATTTTTAAAAAGTACAGTGCACTCGCGAAAACTCGAACTAATGAAAACCAGCCCTGTCCGAGTTATCGAAATGTTCGAGTTTTCGAACGTTATGTATTTTTAATATATTTGTATGTATTCGTTTTAACAGTTTTCATACCCTGTCCATTTTTATGGCATAGTTAATCAAAGAGATTCTCTGGTTTCATGTTTTGTAGTTCATTGCCAGTTTATTTAATAAAAAATGTTAGCAAATATGAATGTTGCTTACAAATTATTAGAAAAAAAGCAGTGATCTTGGTTTGATGTTTCTTATTTTCTACCGCATTCAATACAGCCTTTTCGCGCAGTGATTGTAGCACATTAACTTTTCTCGGGCTAATTTTTTCAGCAGTTGCCCATGCTATAGCTTTGTTGAAAATTGTAACGGCTTCGGATGAACTTATGCGTTCTTGTTCTTCCTGTAGCTTCAACTTCATCTTCGGAATCGCTTTCTTCTATAGCTTCAATATGATCCTCTTCAATCAAGTCGTCGTTATTCCAGTCTCTTATTTCTTCTTCTGTGAAAGTAGCCTAATAAATATTTATTATTGTTGTCGTGTGTTTTTTATTTACATCAAAACCATAACTACCTCAGGATTTAAGTGTTCGAGAATTTCGGCAGCTTCTTTTTCCATACTTTTAGCTTCAGCTTCTCATTTGGTTTTTCAAGACACTAAGTGGAATGTCATCGTCGTCATCGTCTTTCAGGTTTGCAAAGTTTAAAATATTTGTCCAGCATTTCGCCAACGTCTCCTGACTCAATTTATTCCAAGCTCTATCCAAAAATGTAACAGCATCTCTCAAGCTAATTTTTTTTAATGATTGGATCAAATCGCAATCATCGGAGAAAATAGCTGCCAAGAGAGAATTTCGGTAATGTAGCTTTGTTATTCTTATTGCGTTTTGATCCATTGGCTGAATCAAAGGAGTTATATTCGGCGCCATAAACATCACCCGAATTAAACCCTCTTCGGATCTTAACGTGTCCTCGTTTGGATGCGAAGGTAATGCACCTTCAAGCAAAAGTAACGCCTTTGCAGGTAGTCCTATATTTTTTAAATAAGTTTTCACCTATGTAATAAAAAAATAGGTTTTTTAAAGGGTGTTTAGTTTGTAGTCAAATGTGAACTTGCCTGTGGTACAAACGAAAAGTGAAACCAATTTTGGAACAGAGTTGATGTCAACCAGGCTGATTTTGAGCTTCGTTACTCCACTGGGCAGTTAAAATGCCTAAATGCACGCGGATTTTTGGCTTTTCCAATGACAAGCATTTTAACCTTGTGTTTCCCAGTAGCATTCGCACACGCCAGAAATGTGATGCGCTGTTTTTCAGATTTGTTTCCCGGTGCCTGCTTTTCTATTCTAGAAACGTATGATTTTCCCGGAAGGAGCTTCCAATATAACCCGGATTCATCTGCGTTCTAAATTTGTTCTGGGCATAGTTCAAGCTCCTGAATTTTAGCTTGGAACTGAGTTTTGAAAGGCTCCACTAACTCTGGTCGCGAGGATAGTTTTTCCCCTGAGATTGAAATCAATCGTATGCCATGCCGTTTTTTTAAATTTTTTAGCCATCCATCGCTGGCAAAGAAAGTTGAGCCATTCTCGCTATATTTGGCATGTAACTCCTTAGCTTTCTCTTTCAAAATTAATCCATTTATAGGATAATTCTTGCTGCGTTGTAATAAGAACCACTTGTAAAGCTTTTTTTCCATTTTTGGCAATTCTGAAGCGCGAAGCGTTTTACGTTTTCCAGGGCCCGATAGCGTGTTATTAACGCATTCCAAAATTTTGTTTTCATTTTTCACAATTCCACAAATTGTGGACTTGGCAGTGTTATATTTTTTGGATAGAGCTGTGATACTAACGCCATTCTTGGCCTCGTTAATTATTTCAGCCTTTTTTGCTAAACTCAAAACATTTAGTTTTCGTCCCATTATAAAACGCAAATAAATTTGATCTTAACCGCGCAAAATCCCGTGTATCACTGACAAATATCAATCAATTTAAAAGAAAAGTTCCGTAATTAGCAAGAAACCTAGCCAGTGCGGCGCCTTAGAATGAAACAAAAGACGCACATAACGACAAAAATTTGAATATCGGCCGTTACAGCACATGCAAAACGACAGTTTCTCACACGTTTTTCCATGAAAAAAGAAAATAATTGTTCGAGTTTTAGAGTAGGTACATTTTGTTCGAGTTTTAAAGTAGTCAATGGAGAAAAAAAAAAGTTCAAGTTTCCGAATGTTCGAGTTATCGTGTGATCGAGTTTTCGCGAGTGCACTGTACGCGTATTTTTTAAGAAAATTGTTTGTACATCACTATTATATAAGTCATTTGTGTTATTTATTATTGCCCTCTGAAGCTATTATATTCGTTTTTGGTTTTAAAAACTATATTATAACAAGATTTTTAAAATAAAATATTTGTTAAATATATTTCATAAACTTTATTTAAAAAAATTGGCGTTTTTTGGCGATTTTGTTTTCAGAAATTGCACTTTTTTTAACAATCGGGACACCCTGCTCAGTATCAACGTAAAGCATATTTTCGGGCACTAGGCCCATTCTAACTACCCAATGCAGGTATGTAATTAAAGGAATATTTTCCAATAATACCAGAGTAAATATATATTTAAAAACCACATTTTTAGCTGCATTTTAACATGCCAAGAAAATAACAAAATTGAGAGCATCAGCGTTTTTATAAAAAACCGACCAGCAGGACCTCCAAGAATACTTTTATTTCAAAATAAAAAACACGTTTCTCTTTTGTTATCACAAATAACAATAATTTGAGGCAGCGTTTATGAATTTCAAAAAAAAAAATTTTGAATCACTCTAATATATATATATATATTTCATGATCTAATCATCGGATCTTAACCAGATTAGTATGGGACCACCTCTGAGACACTGCCTTTCCGATGCAGTTATCGAAATCGGTTGACGGGGTCCTAAGTTATGCGGTAACATACATAAAAAAAAAAATATATATATATAAAAAAATTAAATAAAATATTCCTTTTTTGGAAGTCGATTAAAAATGAACTCCTTTCTGCGTAGGCGGTCATCGGCCGCGCTTAGGGATTATAACCCTTACTAAGCAGAATTCTCCTTTCTGTGTTGCCGGTAAAGGAAATATTTTGCGCAGCCCTTCTTTCTGGGTAGGCGGCCTTCGCCCGCGCTTAGGCATTACAGGCCTTACTAAGTAGAATTCTCCTTTCTGTGTTGCCGGAAAAGGGGGCGGAAGTATGTTTGCGCAGAACTTCTTTTTGCGTAGGCGGCCTTCGGCCGTGCTTAAGAATTATAACCCTTACTAAGTAGATTTCTCCTTTCTGTGTTGCCGGAAAAGGGGGCGGAAGTATGTTTGCGCAGAACTTCTTTTTGCGTAGGCGGCCTTCGGCCGTGCTTAAGAATTATAACCCTTACTAAGTAGATTTCTCCTTTCTGTGTTGCCGGAAAAGGGGGCGGAAGTATGTTTGCGCAGAACTTCTTTTTGCGTAGGCGGCCTTCGGCCGTGCTTAAGAATTATAACCCTTACTAAGTAGATTTCTCCTTTCTGTGTTGCCGGAAAAGGGGGCGGAAGTATGTTTGCGCAGAACTTCTTTTTGCGTAGGCGGCCTTCGGCCGTGCTTAAGAATTATAACCCTTACTAAGTAGATTTCTCCTTTCTGTGTTGCCGGAAAAGGGGGCGGAAGTATTTTTATTTATTTATTTTTTTATTATTTTATTTATGACAGATGTACGGTAAGACATTTAGTCTTTTCATTGCACAAATTTAACATTAAAATTACAGATCTTAAACTTATTTTAGACTTAACCTAACAGTAATATATCATAATCTTTAGTAAAGGATAAGAATAGGTAAAATGAATTACTAAAGATGAAGAAGTTAAGAGAGGGAGGCACATAGGTTACTAAGTAAAAATATATATAATTGCCGTTTTGAAACATCTCTCTGATTTAATGCTTTTAACAGAAATTGGTAGCGAATTCCATTGTCTGATGGCACTAACAAAGAACAGTCTGGAGGCCGTTAATGTCTTATATTTTGGGACTATAATATTATACGTGCGAGAGGACTGAACAAAAGTTAATTTTCTAAAAAGGTAGTCTGGTTGGCGATATCTAATTATTTTGAAAATAAATAAAATATTTCGGACCTTTAAGTAATTTTCAAAGCTGAAACCGAGAATGTTTTTAGTGTACGGCGAAATGTGGTCAAACTTTCTTTTACAATATACGAATCTAGCAGTATTACTTAAAGCCAAATTTAGTTTATTTTTAGATTCGTAACTTAGCTTGCAATATACCGATTCAAAGTAGGTTATTTGAGGAACGATGAGAGATTTCACTAATTTAAGTTTTGTATTAGTTGGTAGGCAGTAGCAAGTATGCCACAGATTTCTTAACGTGTAATATATTTTTGATACGCTATAACTTATGTGATCCGTGCAAGTAAGGTTAGTGTTCATTTTAAATCCTAGGTTGGTTACTACTGGTCGAAATTGGATTTCCGAGTCTTCCAGAATGATAGGCGATAAGTTAGTAAGGTCGAAAGCATCGTGCGATATTGGAAGTACCTGTGTTTTGGCTGCGTTTAAATAAAGGCAATTTGTTTTCGCCCAAATTGATATTCTCTTTAGATCATCATTAAGTCTGAAAACTAAGTCTTCGCCAAGCCCAATCGGGCGTGAATAATAAATCTGAGTATCATCAGCGTAAAGGTGTATAGACGCATTTTGACAGCAGTGAACTATGTCATTAATGAAAGCGGTAAAGAGTATAGGGCCCAATATAGATCCTTGAGGAACTCCTGACGGGATTATCATGCGACTAGAAAACACGTTCCCACATTGGACTTGCTGGAGTCTATTTGAAAGGTAGCTTTCTATTAATTTAACCGATGTTTTAGTAAACCCGAAGTAATGTTGCAATTTTAAGAGTAGAATATTGTGATTGACGGAATCGAAAGCTTTAGAGAAGTCTAAGAGTACCAAAATTGTTAAAAATTTGCTATCGAAAGCGGGGCGAATGTCGTCCATTACCTTTATCACGGCTGTGGAACAACTGTGACCAGATCTAAATCCAGACTGAAACTCACTCAAGAGCTTGTATTTATTTAAGTGTAATATTATTTGATTGGAAATAATTTTTTCAAACACTTTTGATAATGCTGGTAAAATACTGATAGGCCTATAGTTAACGGGAGATTCGCAAATGTTGCTTTTTGGGATCGGAATGACATTTGCAATTTTCCATTGGTTTGGAAAAGTCGAAGTGGTTATTGCAAAATTGAAGATATGTGTAAGTGAGGGAAGAGCAAAAGGGAGGATCAGTTTAAGAAAACGTAGGCTAAGTCCATCTACACCAATGGCATCCGATTTTACACCAAAGATGCATTTGACAACTTCATCTTCAGTAGTTGTGTTAAACGTAAATTCATGGACAGGATTACAAACTAGACTCCGGTTGACTGTAAAAGAGGACGCGTTTGATTGTCTATTTGCTCCTATGTAATATGAATTCATCTCATTTGCATCAATGATGCAAGTTTTCTTTTCCTTAGCACATACTCCCAATGAGTTCAAGTTTTTCCATAACACCTTAGAGGAAACGTTATTATTAAACTTATTTTTAAGGTAATTTTTTTTCGTTTGACGCAAGTTCTTTGTTATTTTATTCCTTAAGTTCTTATAGACATTCCAGCGATCAACTGTGGGATTACGCTTCCAGTACTTATATGCCCTGTTTCGATCCTTAATTAGGGTTATAATGTTATTAGTGAACCAGGGCTTTCTATTGTCCAATATTTTAAGACTACGGAGAATAACATATTTGTCAAACAAATATTTTACCAGCATTGTAAAGTGGGCTAATTTATCGTCAACACTTGAAAGGAGCCAACAAGAGTTCCAGTCCAGTGAGGAACTTTCATTACATAAGGCAGTGGTATTAATATTTTTAAAATCTCTATATGTAACGTTGGTTGTTGGCTTTATTTTGCAAAACTGTATATTATAGCATAAGAACAATAACTCATGGTCAGATACTCCAGACAGGGGGAATTGATCAATATGTTTTACATTATTAATAATGCTCACACCAATGAGATCCAGCATACTTGGCTTACAGTGCGGTGCAAAGCGAGTTGCAATTTATTAGCGACCGTAATACCATTATCGTTAAAGTTATTTAACAAATTCTTTGATCTGGTGTTGTTTATTAAAATATCTACATTAAAATCACCACATATGAGGACATTCACATAGCTCAAGGACATTTCATTTATTTTAGTGAATAGAAAAGTTAGATCATTACATTTTTGGGGATTGTAGACACACACAACAAGGCACTTTTGTACGTTATCACTGAATTCAACAAATATACTTTCAACATTATCAGAGCGGGAGGACTTATACAAAAGTCTGCAATTGAAACTAGCTGTATAATAAATGGCTATTCCGCCACCTCGGCAACCAGTCGATCTGGCATTTCTTACCATTGCAAAATCGCACAGAGCATAGACCAAATTTTCAATGTCTGGTTTGAACCAAGTCTCCGTTACACAAATCACATCAATCTTCAGATTATGAAAAATATGGTTTAGATATTCAAGTTTATCTACTGTTAGACTTCTGGCATTAAGGTGACAAATATTGAGCCCATCATGGTATTCGCACGTTAATTTAAGAGCTAGCCTCAAATTATCTTTGTTAGTGCGCACACTAACGTCACTGTCCATACCAGTAACATACATGAGATGCTTGCAAACGGCTATTTACAAAGAGAGTGTAGGAAGGAAAGGGAATAAATAGACAAAGAACGAAGGCAGGCAAGAAACAGACAGAGAGTATCTTAAAATTATTTACATCTAACAGCGAAACGAGTTTGCTTAACATTCTAATTTTGATTCTCATGCTTAATGTTTAAAT